GGAAGGCATAGATTGTTCACAGTGAGATGACAAACATTGTGGATAAAATGGTGAAATTACACAAATAGGAACAATCTTCAGGAGAAGTGGAGATTCCTAGGGACACACTTGCTGCTACAGGTTAAGTGGAATTGACAGAAGTTTCATAGTCATTAAGATTGAATGTCCTCAGGGTGGGTCATTATTATTACTACTATTATTATTATTATTATTATTATTATTATTATTATTATTATTATTTTAAATGATACAACTAATATTCAAGAGTATGAGCAGAGTGTTTTTGTTTTGGCCTATGTTAACTGATTATTTTTTTTTATCTCCAACTCCCCTGCATTCTCCATCCCTTCTAATAAAAAATATGATATTTTTGAACATTTTTTTTATTACAAAGTACTGATGGTGACTAGAATTAGTCAACAAAGTTGTCCTTGAACCACAGAGAAACTGCAGAGCTGGACCCCAAGCACCATGAATCCCTGGTCCCTCCATTTCTGCCTAGAGAGTGTTGAGCAGCAGGATATTGTGTGGTTTCAGGTTCCAGACATAGTAGAGGAATCCCAATTCCTTCACTGCTAACATGTAGCTGGAAACTATGTTTCATTTTCTGATGGAACCAGGGTTCAGAAGAGTGCCTGAAATCCACTTAGGACTAATTATCTAAGGAAGTCCAGGTGTATGGACTTCTCTGGGGAAAATGTTACCAGGCAGTCCTGGTGGGTCTGGGCATCTGCCTTCTGCCTGTTGGCTGGGAGGGGTAAAGATCCCAGAGAGAGCCCTGGTCACAGTCTCTGCATCTGTACATCTCTGGGGCTGTTTCAGTGTGTTAGTGCCAGTGGGTCTGACAGCCATGTCACCTCAACACAGCAGCCTGGGGGCTGGGATGCCTCTGTCCATCACTCTTATGGTGGCACAGGGCAGAGCATGTGCTTATAAACCAGCACGCTGTGGGTATGGTGACATTCCTGACTCTTACTTTTAGAACTACGCTGGCCTATGTGGTGAACACTAGCCATGTGTGACTATAAATTTAAAATAAAATTAAAGTTCAAATTGAATCTTTTAGATGCACTTTCTACATCTTACGTGGTCAATACACACTGGGGACTGTTGGCCAATACTGGTCTAAAATGTTGGTTTGACCATCTTTGATGTTGTTGCTAAGAGCACAAACTTCCCAGCATCTGGTCACAAGCCTGTGTGACCTCTGGGCCTTCTTAGTAGGCACAGGTGGTGTGGTCTTGAGTTGTCCCAGGGATCTTTCTGAGAGGGCAGGACCGAGTCTGCACTGACAGGGAGGCCAGGAGGCCTGGGCTCCCCCACTCTGCCTCCACACCTGTATCCTCAGGAGCCTCTCTGAAGCCACAGCCTTGGCCTCTCACATGCACCACAGAGTCCAGCCCTTAACCCTCTTCTCAATTATCACTTTTGAATTCCTGGTTGTCTGTTAGTCTGTTAGAAGAAAGACTATTGATATGAGCTGGACATCTGTGTTCCTTACAGAATCTGTCCCTGTGATGGATGCATCAGGGTCAGCTCCCTGAGCAATAGTGAAGATTAGCAGTGAAGCCTCATGTGACCCAAGTCGAAAACCCTAACCATGTTATGCCTAAGATCGACCAGTAGGTGGCAGACAAGCCCAGCCAACCAGTCATCTTGTCTTAGAAATATAAGAAAACAGAGTGGACCACAGCACACAGCACTTGCCTCACACACAGAGTCCACCTAGCAATGTTCCCACAAGTCCACAGTCACATCCTGGGTGCTCTGGGAGACTCTATTCTACTGCATCTTATTGTAGAGCAAGCTGAGCCTCTCTAATCCTAACATTACATATCTGAAAAGCTCAGAAACCTAAAATTTTGGGATGAATTCCAGTAGATTTTGGTTTTTTGTATGGGAATGCTCAGTTAGTAAATGATGAAAAATTTCCAAAATCTGAAGAAACACTTCCAGATTCCCACATTTAGAAAAAAGGATAATCAACCTGTGTTCTACTTTCATCATTACAATGTTTGCCCATGAGCACATATAAACAGGAACACCATGGACCAAGATTATGTACAACTATAATGCCTTAAAATTAAAAAAAAATCTGAATAAATTTATTAGCCCCAAATTGATAAGCCCCAAATGCACAAGAAGAAAATGTGCTTCTTGTGCATTTCCAGAGACCCTAGAAGAGAAAGCTGAAGGAATTATACTGCAACAGACCCCAAGTGGAGGTGGTGGGTTTTTCCTTTTTGTGAGTCATTTGACAAATATTAGAGAGAAGTTTGCAAGACAAAACAAGTGTCTCCTGAGCAGGAAGGCTGGGACATGGCCTGTGAGGGTTTCCTGAGGTGATGGTCTGAACGTGGGGTGGTGAGAAGAGCACAGAGGTCAGCTCTGGTGGCTGTGATGGACAGTCAAGTAGATATTTTATTACAGATCAAGAAAAATAGGTAGAATTCAAGAACTGAGAGCAGGTAGTGAAGAGACCACCCAGAGCCCAGTGAGGCTGTGGAAGGAAATTAAGGCTGAATCCTTGGGTCTAGGTGAAGCTGCTCTTCTGACAGTTCTGAGGAGCATTTTCACCATGGAGACAATGACATCATAACAAAAACAGAGGTGTTGAGTGTCAGTTGTCAGGGGATCATCTTAACTAGAAGTCACAACTGCAAGGAGGGTGCTGCTAGTGTCAGAGCTTCACTGTTGTGGAATGTGAGATGAGGGCAGCTGTAGGAAACTCCACCCATGTCCTTGATCTGTGGGACAGGTCTGTCCCCATCCTGATGGTCTGACTCAGGTCCACCATGACAGCCAGGCCACTGCATGGACACTGTGCAGCTTTGGTGAAGCTGTCACAGCTGGATGATGGGGATTCCATGGGAACGTGGAGCAGCATTAGTGGAGGAGCTTCCTGGAGACAGAGGAATGTCAGGAGAGCAAGAGTTCACCTCCTGGAGGACATGGCTGATTTACAAGTGACAGTTGTCCCCCTATTAAGGACAAAAACACCTAAGCAGGCTGGCAGTGTGCACTGTGCAGGCAGGATTGTCACAGAGCACAGAGGATCATGGGAGGCAGAGCTCCTGCCTGCTGGACAGCACACCATCTGCCTCAGGGACCTGGTGCCTCTACAAAAAGGGGATCAGAGCTTGGCCCTTCTCCTCTGTGCACTTGAGGTTTACTTGTACCCACTGCCAGGACTGGAGAGTGTTGCTCTTCACTAAATCTCACAAGGGAGGCGGTTTCTTGCTCCTTCCATCCCTCCCTAGTGTCAAGAGCCATATCTGTGCTTGGGCCAGATCCCTGGGGAGCTCTGCCTCAGTGGGACACAGAGGGAGCCATGGAGCCCCATTCAGCTACTCTGCCTCCTGTTCCTCTGGCTCCCAGCTGAGGGAAAGATGGGATGGTTCTGCACATCTCTGAAAATACCTTCAATACTGTGGGCCTGTGTCCTGGCACCTCGGCTCAGCAAGCCCAGTGACCAAAATGTACTGCTATGATCTGTCTCTACTGTGGAGACCATGGTAAGACCTAAATTGAAGAAGTGATGATTCAGTCTTATCTCTATTTTTAGAGACCATGTGAGATACTGTGCTGACACAGACTTCGGCCTCACTGCCTCTGTCTCCAGGGGAACAGCAAGCTGAAGTGTGGGCACCTAGTGACATTGGCATCAGCAGAACCCTGGACAGACACCTGGAGGCCTCCTCTGTGCTGCATCCTGCAGGCCCAGTGGTGTCTCAGCCTGGCTCAGGGGCAGTGGATCCTGGAGAGACTTCCCCCTGTCCATCAGCAGCCTATAGCTGGGATGCCACAGTTCCTTACTCTCAGGAAGCCTCAGGGCCCACCACAGCAGCCCAGATGATTCCAGAGGGAAATAACAGCTGCCATCTGCCTTCAGTCCCTTTCTGCCTGGTACATAACTGCTCTCTCCATTGACACAAAGTTTGACTTCTGCAGTTTTCTGTGTCCTCTGCCCCCTGAAAAGTAGATTGTAGGAGAGAGAAAACCCACCTTCATTCATGTGTGAGAGATGCTTGGTCCCTTAGACCTTCTTTTGCTTCCCCAGGTACATGGCAGAGGTTAAACAGGATGGGGGAGTATTTGCTATTACATGCAGGTGAGCAGGAGGAAATGGAGGCTCAGGGAGAGCCATAAACACCCAGGGCTATGCTCAGGGTAAACAGTGACTACACAAGCACAACTGTGTGCCAGGGTCCCTGGATACTTTTCCTCTCTTCCTGACCCAGTGACAGCCTCCTCTGTCCAGGACAGAGCTTGCTAATGATGGCTACAGCAATTGTCCTCAGGTTCTGCTATCAGGGCATTTCCTTTGCATTCCAGGATAAGGTCTTGGGACAGTTCTGTGTATTGTGACCCTCAAGTATGGGGCTCCAGCTCCTGCATGATTTGTGTCTCTGCAGAAATCGCCTATCTGTGGCTTCTCCTCCACCCACAGCAGGATCAGGGCTTCATGGACACAGAGGCAGGGAGGGCTGGGTCCGTGGTTGGGTCCCTCCTCCCCACCCCTTACCCATGCTTTGACAATGTCCAGAAACCCCAAACACTTCAGTGAGTTTATACACATTCCTCTCTTTCTGTCTTTATTCTGTTTTTACCTCTAAAGCATAAACTATCCCCTTGCTTCTGTAATGCCTCCTCCTCCTCCAAGGGTCAAGAACACAGCACTGTGCTTAAGACACAAGGACAAACTGTCCTCAACCAGAAAGTGACTACAGATCACCACTCACAGCTCCGGGGTCTGACTGTGTCCTGTGGCCCCTGGGAACCATGTTCATCCCAAGCAAATCTGAGCTGCCCTGGTCTGACCTGGGACACCTGGACACACTGAGCCTGTGTTGATTGACCAGGAGGAGCCTCCCTGCAGCTGTGCCCAGCATGCTCAGCCTGCTGATTTGCATGTGCCCACAGCACAGCCCACTGCCCTGAGGACTTCTTAAGAGGCTGCTCACACCCTGTGTAGGAGTCAGTCCCAGTCAGGACACAGCATGGCCATGAGGGCCCCTGCTCAGCTTCTGGGGTTCTTGCTGCTCTGCCTCCCAGGTAAGGAGGGACATTACTGGGACATTTACTAATCACAGTGTGGACAGTGCTGCCTGGCTATTCAGGAAAGTCCTCTTGGAACATCACTACTTACAAGGATATTTCTTTTTATGTTTCCAATGTCAGGTGTCAGATGTGATATCACAATGGCCCAGTCTCCATCCTCCTTGCCTGTGTCACGTGGAGACAGAGTCACCCTCACCTGCAGGGCCAGTCAGGGCATTAGCAGTAATTTACACTGGTATCAGCAGAAACCAGGTCAAGCTCCTAAGCTCCTCATCAGAAATGCAAACACTTTGGAATCTGGCGTCCCCTCGAGGTTCAGTGGCAGTGGATATGGGACAGATTTCACTCTTACCATCAGCAGCCTGGAGCCTGAAGATGCTGCCACTTATCACTGCCAACAGAGTAGCATTTATCCTCCCACAGTGACACAGGCCATGACAAAAACCTCCCAGGGAGCAGAAGTGTGAGGCTGGGCTGCCTCAGCTGCTCTTCCTGCTTCCTCCACCTGCTGAGGGCACTGCTCAGAGGCTGCCAGGATCCCTGGGCAACAGAGAGAGTTTGTGGAAGGATACAGGGGGGCTCCTCTGCACCCTGACTCTTTCCTTCAGCTCAGCCCCAGCAGACAACCATGATAATGGCCTCAATGATTTGTTACAAGACAGAATTTAGACCTGAGACCCTAAAACAGGTAATAGTTGGTCTCCTGCAGCAAAGACAGGCCTCTCCACATATTTCACATGGGAATATTTTAAGACCTTGATTTTTAGTACAGTTTATGTTCCTAGTAAAACTGGGTGAAGTGCAGGGTTTTCCTGTGTCCCCCTTGTTCCCACAGCCCCTCCATCACCACCCCAGACTCTGTTGCTTTTATTAAAATTTATCAACCTCTGCCCAAGTCTATCAGACACACCAGGGTCACTTTGTGCATCTGTGGAACTAGACAAGTGGACACTGATGTGTGTCCAACAGTTTGGCCTGGCACAGTGCAGGCCCTGCCCTCACATTGCCTGAGCTCCAGCTGCTCCTTACCCCCACTCTCTGCTGCAGACCTTCATGATTTTTCACTCTGTAGTTTCCCCTGGGCTGAGTGACACCTGCCTGGCACTCACAGCATGGACGATGTTCAGACTGGCCTGTCACCCTGAGTGCTATGCACACAAACCTTCTCCAAGGGTTTCTATAACAGCATAGAGAGTTATTTTCTTTTCTTCCTTTCTTTTTTTTTTTTCAATTTTACTTCAAACTTGAGATTAAATCCAGACATGCACTACCACTCAGCTACATTCACAGTCACATTTGTATCTATCTGTCTGTCTGTCTGTCTATCTATCTATCTATCCATCTTTCTATCATCTATTTATTTTTTGAGAAAGGATCTCTCTAAGTTTCTAGGTCCTTGATAGGTTTCATGGACATCAACCCTGAGTCTTTTGGCCTGTGGACCTGGAGTTGCACCTGTTGTCCTCTCTTGGGCTAGGAGACCTGGAGACATGGATTGGGAATGCACCATAGTCTCTCTCCTTCTGAGGTTTGTGGCCTCTTGGAGTGAGATACAAACAGAGATGGACAAGGCAATGCTGTTGACAACCTGTTTTGACAGATTATCAGGCCTTGGAAGAAACAAGGTGGGTGCATTAGGAACAATTCCCTTTTGGAAGAGGTATGGTCAGATATTTGAAAATGGGTCAGAAATTAAAATAAGTCCTTTCCAAATAAATTATCATTTAAAGGTCATTACTGAACATGGACAGCCAATAATTAGCATGAACAAACAAAGATTCTACATAGTCATCTACTTCCCCATTTAGGCTCATGAACCAATGTTATGGAGGTCCCACCTTGGGCTTCTATAAGATCAGTCTCTTTTCACCCAGTTCATGTGACCACTGGCACTTGAAGGCATCCAACTCAACAAGAGGGCTGGACACTGTTGACCCCCATTATTCTATCCACACCATGAGACCAGTCTGACACCTGACATCCATATGACCACAGTGGGACTGACAGACACTGGAAGGCTGGGAAGGTGCTCCTCTGAGCCTTTGAGTTCTGTCCTGTGTCAACCAGAAACATGTGGAGATCTCCTGAGAGCTTTCATGGGTGCTATAATTCTTATATAATATACCATTCAACAAGCAACTCATTTACAGAAAAATAATCAACCTAGTGCACTTGACCATGATATTATCACAAATGCAGGTGCAGTGGTGTTGACAGAAGAGAAATTCACACAAATCAAGCTATGCTGGCTCTGGGCCCCATGGAGTTGATTCCCTGTCCTTCCTGGTGTGGAGAAGGCTCATAGGCATTGACTCTGTGTGGTTCTGTTTCTCTCAGACATGGAATATTCAATATTTGCTCTTCAGAATTGCAGGGTCATCCCCATCATCTCTATTGTGCCCATGGAGCACCGTGAGTACTTCTATCTGCTCACTTTGGCTTTCTCGTCAAAAATTCTTGACCCAAAGGATTGTCATGGTCACTCTTCCATTAAACTGAGTGAAATGATGAACACATGGTTGTCAGATCCCATAGGACAAGGGGCTAATTGTGAGGAAGTGTCCCCATTTTTAAGGCTAGGACTATAGGTCCTGGTGATCAATGGCTAATAGGAATCTCTCTACGCATTTTAAGAAAATGACTGGAAAATGTGTTAATTCTGGAAGAGCTTCAGGAATGGTCCTCCTCATGACATTGCCACTGGTGACAGCTGGTAGGACAGTTGAGCAGGTGTCAGCATGGAGCTTCAGGTGATGCAGGAGGTGGCCAGCACAGGTCCAGGAAGTGTCGTGGGGCACAGGGAATGTGACCTGCACAGAGAGACAGGGAGACATGGCCTCCAGCCACAGCCTCCTGGTGAGCCTGAGGCTGAGAATCATGGGGTCCAGTCTCTTCCTTCATCACTGTGATGTCATAGTGTCACCTGGATATGACAGAAGCCATCCTGGATTCTTAGCCAAGGTCTGATCATGGCCGTGGACTAGGATCAGGAGGCAAGAAGAGCAGGTTCAGGCTACTTGCAGCCCTAACCCCCTCACCCTGGGCCTGTGTGTGCCGAGGTCAGGAGACACAGCCAAGTGTGTGGCAGTTGTGTCTGTGAAGCTCCAAGCTGCTCTGCCCACCTGCTCTCCTCCCAGCAGCCCAGCCCAGCCAGGGGTGGGTTCTGAGGCCTTCATCTCGGGATCCTCCTGCATTGATGTCAGGTGGGGTTAGGGGAGCCCAGTAGTGAAAGAGCAGCCCCTGCCCATCAGGTGAGAGCAGGTGGGCTCCAGGGAGAGAAGGCCTGCTGGGGGGGGGGCTTAGGTGTGTGGTCACCACTGCTAGTGCACACAGACAAACACACAGAGAGACACACAGACTCACACACACATTCAGAGACATACACAGACACACACATATGCACAGACACACACACTCACAGACACACAGACACACACTCACACACTCACATACACACACACTCACAGAAACACAGACACACACACATGCACACACAGACATGCACACACACACACACACACCCATACACACACATATACACAGTCACAGAAAAACACAGACACACATGCACATACACACACAAACACACACCTACTCATATATTCACACACACAGACACACACTCACACACATACACACTCACACACACAGACACACACACAGACACACATGCACATACACATATGCACTCACACTCACACACACACTCACACATAGACACACACTCACACATAGACACACACTCACACAAAGACACACACACAGACACACACTCACACCCACATACACACACACTCATATACACACTGACAATACACACACAGTCACACACATACACACAAATGTGCATGCACACAGACAAACACACAGACACACACTCACACACACAGACACACACATACTCTCACACACACACTCAGAGACACACATACACACACATGTGTGCACACACACACATACACCGCACACACACTCATACACATACACACACACACACTCATACAAACAGACACACACACCCACAGTAGCCTGAGATTAAGGTTTTGAGAGAAATCATGAACGTGGCTCATAATGGTAGCATAACCTTCCATTTCTCTCTCATTTGAAGACCCACAGGTGCTACTGACCCAGGATCCTCCCTCCTGCTTCTCACCCATCCACTTCCTGCAGGTTCATATAGAGCCTTCTACAGACAGATGGATACATTGATTCTTGCAGAAGGCAGGAGAAGTCTATGTGGCTTCTGACCTTTTGGGCTTCCAATTGTCTCAGGCAACTTCAATGGCAGAGGGTCAGGAACAGATTTCCTGCTGGACCTCAGGACAGTGGAGGCTGAGAAGTCTGGTGTTATTGCTGTGTGTAAGCTATAAAAATTAACTATAAAAATTAATGTATAAAACCCCACAAAACTCCCTGTTGGGTCATCCAGCTGCCACCTGGGCTGCTTGCCAGGGGATAGGCACTGCAGATTCTCTGACTGTTGGAGAGTAAGTTCCTGGGATCTCAGGGTCACAGAGCATAGTCAAGGACTCTGGACCATGTACCTAGCTTAGAGCTCAAGCTCTTTTTAAGACCTCTTCAGAGGGGCAGGGCAGAAGCAGGAGAGAAGGTGAAGGGTCATCCTCCAGGGCCACGCCAGAGTGCTGGGGAACTCAAGATGTTATAGAGGAAACACAAAAAAACAGGTAAAATTCAGCTTCTCCAAAAGGTCTACTGTGACTCAGAAATTGTAGGTCTTCTTTTCATTTCTTCCAAGGCTTCTGAGTGTGACAAGATTGAGTGTAAAGTGGTGATTTTATGGTTTTTTTTTTTTTTTTCTGTATTTAGTGCAGTGATTTTTATGGTCTGCTGAGACCTGATACATCCTAAGTGAAAGTGGAAGTTCATTTTGTAAACTGAATATAATGTATGGGTTCCAGCTTTGTTATTGAGTTTTAAACATCTAGATCTAGAGACAGCAAAACGTGTATCCTACATGGACACAAATGGTGACAATAAAGAAAAGCCTAAAGAAATGATGATGGTTGAAGGCAACCTCACATGACTGACAGGGAGGGGCTCCATATTCCAGGGTGAGGGTGGGGCCATGATGCTTCACTTCATCTTTTTCAAATTGTGTTCTACTAACTACAATTATCCATGAACAAGTGCTTTAATATTGTATAATAGAAATTTAAAAAATTGAACTAAATGAACAAATTATCCTACTTAGGAAAATATACTGTGCTTAAGGTATAGACTTCCAACTAAATATATTCCATCAAGACTAAAACTAATGTTAAAATAAGTAATTTGTTAGTATAATGTAAAGAAAATATTGCAGAGCAACTAGAAAACTCAATTCTTCAAATTGAAAAGAATGGTCTTATTAAATATTTTTTTTTTAATTTAAATCAATTTCATCAATGAATAGTTTTTTTTTTTTTTTAATTGATGACAGGGTTAGCATAACACTATTTAAATAAGGGTTTCTGGGAATTTTTCCCTACTGAAACCTAAGAATAAAATAAATTAAGAAAACAGAAAACTAAATGAGAAAAAAAAAAAAACTGACAAAAATTCTGATTACACTCCAAATTCTTCTGAAATATTAAAGTGAAAGCTGGTCAAGTAAAGACCACTTGAGTTAAAGCAGAAATCACCCTGGACCTTTGTGCACCTTTCCCTACCCCATACCTTCAGGAAAAGGCAGGATAGAGAACAAAGGGCCCAATTTCCCGATGACCCCTGCTGCCCAGGAGGAACAGAGCAGCACTTACGTGTGACTTTCTACCTCATCTGTGGGCTACCTGGTGAACTGCTCTCTCTATCACATGATTCAGAACTCAGACAGGGACAAGTGCTGGGCTCAGTTCTCAGATGAGGGAACTGTGGACAGCAGTGGTGGGCGCCACTGTGTGTACCTCTGCATGAAGGAAAAGGGATCGGAAATACACAGCACATCCAGGCCCTAAAGAAGCTTCCAAGGCACCCTCAGGATAACCAGCTCATTTATCAACAGCCATGGTATCTGGGGAAATTGGGAGGGGAAGCATATACTCAGGCACCTGCATGCCCAGGAAAGATCAAAGCCTTTACTCAGGCAGACCCCAGTCCTCAGATCATCATTAATGGGTTCCACATCAGAATTCAAAAACTGGGCAGGTGAATGTTGAATTCAAAGGCTGCAGTTCAACAGAAGATGGCAAGGCACACAAAGGAGCACGGAAACATGAGTCATTCAAAGGAACAAAAGTCTTAAGAAATCAACTGAGCAGAAAAAGATATCAGAGTGACAGGACAGCACCTTTCAATATCTGCCTTACAGAGGCAGCTTGGAGACTGGAGATGCCACTGTCCATCACTATTGCCATGGCATGGGAAAAACCTGTCAATTAGCAACTGGGTGGCAGAAGAAATTGTGCTGATACTGCTTTTAGAACTGTGCTATCTCACGTGGAGCACACTAGCCACATGACTCTATAAACTTAGAATCAGCTAGTTTTACAATGAACATTTCTTTGCACTTGGTTTTTTCTCTTGCTTCATCTCACAGGCCATGTGTGGAAAACAGCAGCCACAAGGGACAGCTCAGGTATATATCTCTTCACCATGGCAGGAGATTCTGTTGGCCAGTGTTGGTCTAAAAGATTCACAAGGTCTTTCATGGTGCTGCAGCTCAGAACACAAACCTCCTCATGTACTGGGTGGCCTCAGGTCCTTCCCCAGTTGGTGTAGCTGTTGTGGCCTAGAATAGGTCTGAAAGGCTCCTGGGATGATGGGAATGGGGCTGCATGGACAGATCTAGACCAGGAGGACAGGGTTCCAGCCACCTCTGACAGTATGCCCTGCAGCCCTCATGAGCCTTTGTAAATCCACACCTGTGGCATCTCACCTGGATCACAGTATCCAGATGTGCCCTACTGTCCTAGGACTATTTTCTTTAATGAATATGAAATTATTTGTTTGTCCTGTGCCCTCAAGTTGATGTCTGGATCAAAGGAGGGATCATTTTCTGTTCTCTACAGAATCTCTCTGGTGACTGATGCAATAGAATGAGCTCGATCAGGAATAAAAAAAAGGACTCCAGGAAGCCCCCTTGGTACCAT